CTTACCAAACCATTGAGATTGCTAGAATTTAATACGCCTGTATATCATATTTTATTTTTCACGCCTGTATTTTTTTTTTTTTTTNTTGCTGGAGTCTTTTTTTTTTTTTTTTTTTTTAATATCTTATTTAATTACAGTTGTCCCTTATTCTTCCCCCTGGTCGAAAATCTCTGATTCTCAATTCTAGTTATCTTCTGCACAAAGGGATTATTAATTTGAAAAGTTTTTAATGAACATTAATTTACAGAATTTTTTATTTTATATACATGAAATTGCATTTTTAAATTTTCTGTAAATCAGGCTACAAAACGAAAAATAATGCATTTTCGTAAATTGATTAAAATTACTGCTTAATAAAACAGCTAAGCTTTTCAACAAAAAATAAGCACCTTTTAAGCCCTCAAAATATACATTTAAAGTGCTTCTTTTGTAAAATAAAATGAAGAATAGGATGTATGCACCATTAAGCACTTATATTAAATATAAGCCATTTAAACACAGTCAAACCCCGCTATAGTGAACCTTCAAGGGACCGAAATTTCTGTTCACCATAACCGGAAGTTCACTATATCCGTTACGCAAGCAATTTAACTAATGGTTCCCTAACTCCCCCCTTTTATTACACATTGTTCAAATAAATGACTGAAAAATATTATGTAGTAGCAAAAAATTTTTTGTTTTCCATTTCTCTTTGACTTGCGCACAAAAAAAAATTTTTAATCTTTAGCTGATGAGCAATCCTCAACATCAGATATGAAAAAACTTCCCGACTCTCAAATAATTTTTCCTGAATTTCTGTTATTCTACTTTTTAAACCTGCCATTCGAGCACATAAAATCGCTTAGCAAATTTATCGACATTTGTGTTGTCCAGATACTTCGATTGGTGAACCACTTCAGTAATGCTTCTTCAACATCCTTGTGATCTGCTATACTCAACTTTTTTCTGCCATCTAAATTTTTTTCATGAGCAAAAATTGTTAATTGCCTATTTCTACAAACTGCAGATTTGGATAGTTTATATTCCCTGCAAATATCAGCTTGATTGCATCCATTTTCAATTTTTCTGATTATGCCCATTTTATCATCAATGGAGAACGTTTTACGTTTACTGTTAGCCATAGTTAAATTTGAGACACTTGTGTGCAGGATTTTTTAAACTGAACTGAGAGCAAAAAGGAGTTGAAATGAGGGCCTAATCAACACATATTAGTGTCCAACTCTTTGACCAATAATTGCTCATTCCCTCTGACATAAAATGCATATTGATCTGACTGGGTTGGAAACATCTGCTTTATTGTTTGTTTAGATGGAAGATGGTTTTAAAAATAGGTAGAATATGTAATTTTTTTTTAAGTAGAAATTTCAAAATTATTACAAAAAAAAAACCAGTTGAAGACAGAAAAAAGTTCATTACATCCAACTTCCGAACTTTTTTGGTTCACTGTATCCACAAAAAATAGCATTAGCCGCGTATAGCAAGGCACGGAACCGAGCATTTCGTTCACTATTTCCGGGAGTTCACTATAAACGGTGTTCACTATAGCGGGGTTTGACTGTATATTCAATATTGAACCACACATTCTATTTTTTTAATTAACAATTTATTAGTTAACATAAAAAAGAAATTCAAAATTATAAGCAGATTAACTTTAATTTAAAAAAGCTAGCTGGTGTAGTTTTTATTAAATAAAAAATTTTTACAAAAGCATATTTAACAAAACATTAAAATTAATATTATTGATCATTCTGAATTTATGAAGTATGTAAAATAAGCAAATTAAGAAAATTTAATATTTTTTGGAATGTAAATACGAGTATTGAAGCTAAACATTCTTGTCAAAGTAATAATTACATGGCCTCTACATTCATGTTATTTAACAAATTTGAGATAATTGAATTTTCTATCTTAATTACTTTTAAATCAAATTCATTACTCATTTTTTGGGATGACAAATCTGAACTAACGTAAGATTTTTTACTGCATTTACTAGATGCTAAAATAGTGACAAGTCATTTACTTCAACTTTTAAAATCTTTGAATATTATTTATATAAAACCTTATAAATTCATAACTATTTAAGTACAATAAAAAGTTTAATAACTTAAATCACTATGACCCAGAGTACAACTGTAATAACTGTAATGTCCTAATACCTTAAGCTGCTAAAAAGTGCGAAAAAAGAAAACTTATTTCCCCAATGATTTAGCATTGCTATGGACAGAAATGTAATACAGTAGGGAACCGATTATCCGGAACGATGGGGACCATCGCTATTCCGGATAACTGATTTTTCCGGTTTTCTGAATCGCTACAAAAAGCTGCTTTTTTAATTGTTAAACACCACTTTAAAAAAATATATTTGGAAATAATCTTAAAAAGAAGAAAAAATGATGAAGTAATACACTAATGATTATTTCCAAAATGATGGTAAGGTAAACATCTTTCAAAAAAGAAAGAAAAATCCTAAAATCTTATGAGGAAAAAAACATTTTTTTTTAAAAAATGGCGGGAATATTTATCAAATTTCGTTCCGGTTTTTTGGTTTTCCGGTTTTCTGATTTCCGGATAACGGGTTCTGTACTGTAATTGAATTATACAGAACAGAAATAATTTTACTCCATTATAGTCTCCAACTAAAGGATAACCTCGGGTTATCCAATTCTGATTTTCGCAAAAATATGAAGTTTAATAAAATTATATATGTAACATTTTATTTACATATAGATAGCAAGGCATGTGAATGTTTTTTGATAATTAAAATCTTACCCTTAACAATTTAACCTTAATTGTAGCTTTTAATTACCTTAAAATAAAAATATTGCATAAAATACCTTGGAACTTTTAATAAAAAATAAACCTTGTAACAGTTGATATGAAAGGCATCAGGGTTTTTAAGAAATCTTGTTTTTATGAAAGCTAATTTATATGTAAGAAGCATATAAATAACCCTTCATAACTTCAGGCAAAAAGTTAGATAAACAAGATAAATAAGCTTTAAGAAAGCAAAATCTATTATATCTTACAGTTAAGGGCTAGAAAATATGTAATGCAAATAAAATTTGGTTTACATTTATTATCTATATGTCTGCTATAATCATTTTCACTTACCACGCCCTAATCAGACAAAACTTTTAAGGGAATGTTTCCCAAACTTATGACTTCTGTGTACCCTTTCTAAATTTTTCGAAAAGCTGTGTACCACTCATAAAAAATGAATATATTTTTTTAAAAAATATCCTTATTTTTACTATAAAAAATAGCACCAAAGTTAAAAATCACAACTGGTTGTTGACATCACTAATTATTAACTGTTAACTCTGCAAAAAAAAGCCAAAAGGAAAATACGTCATCGTAAATTTTCATGGCTAGCTTTGTTTCAAAGTAAAAATTTTTGAAATTTTCGTTTGTTGCAAGAGAACGCGTACCCCGGTTAAACTGTTCCCGAACCCCTGAGGCTACACGTACCACATTTTGGGAAACACTGCTTTAAGGTATATGCAACTATTAAGAGAATTTCACTGCAATATATATTTCCATGTACAACTGACTTTAAATGAACTTAAAAATACTTACAGGGTTGCTTTTAGTAGCCTAATGATGTGTTCCCCAACGTTTGATAATATTACCGCGGCCCGCTGAGGGGGGGCGGACGTTGATTGCTTATACTTCAGATTACTTTAATTTATTAAATTTAATTGCATTTAAACATGCCTTCAAAATAAAATACTGTTACACCAAAAAATAAATATTAAGATATGAGAATAATGAGAACCCTGAGCTTGTTTCACTGAAATGTGACGGTTCCATCTGGGGGTAATCTGAGACGATACTTTACTAACATTAAAAAATTTATGTAACCGCCTTCGGGGGCCCCCGTTTTTTAAAATAAATAAAATTTTAATGGAACACAAATATTGTTAATTTGGGGTATAAACCTAGGAATTTAATTTTAATGAAATGGGCGGCCCGGTACCATTTGATCCACTGGCCTAAAGCATGAAAATAGTCGCCTAAATTAAGAAAATGTTGCTTAAATAGGAACAAAAAATTTTAAATATTACTGAAATTTTATTAATTGACTGATAATGATAATAAAATTATAATATACCAGGATCCATTAAGTCAAATTGACGGCCAATATGATAATTTTTAAATAAACGTTATTGTTCTAGTACTAAATTTTTACATAAAAAAATTATTATACTTGCGGAACATTAAATACTTATAAATGCCAGAATTCAGAAAAATAATTTTTTGTTAAAAAAACACTCATTCTATTAATTTTCCCATTTATCAATAATTGATTTAGCAAATATACATATATTGCAAAGTGATTACTAAAATTCAAAATTCACGCAACATAGTATCGATTAAAAATTGGGTTCTTCAAAATCAAGTAGAATTGCATGGCAATAACTGTTGAAAAGCGATTGAGTAGATTCAAAATGCAATCTGTGCAAATTGAGAGCAAAAAAAAGTTTAGCACAGAAAAGTCTCCCTTTCTTGAAAAAAGTTGCCATAGTTGCCTCAGGTCGAAAGTAGTTGCAAATAGTCGCATTTTAGTCACCTGTGGCAACCCTGTACTTATTAATCCGTTTTTATAAATCCATTTTAAACAGCAACAAATTTTAAAAAAGTAATAAAATTCCTAATTAGATTAAAAAAGTAAAAGATGCTTACATCATAAGAGTGTCACGTAAGTTTTAAAATTAACTATTCCTGAAGCTTTGAAAAAATGTTCAAATCTAATATAAATTTACTAATAGTAATGCTACTGCATTCAAAAACGCCAAATGGATTATTCAGAAACTCTTGAAAATTTAGTGAATCTTCAAATAAAATATTTAAAAACAAGAACTCTTGCTAAAGTAGGCATCCAGCAACCTAAAGTCGCAGCCAAGTAAAATTTACTCTTACAAAAAAAGCCTTAAGTGCTGACTTGGTATACCTCAACAACAAAAAAACAAAATAAGATCCTCAGAAATCAAATACAAAAATTGTCTTTATAAATTTTTTTTTTTATTTAAAACATTTACACTGTGTCTTCTTTAGTGACTCTGGTATAAATCACTTGACTGTGATGTTTAACAACTTGCTTGATCAGTCCTGAAAAAGAAAACACACATTAGTTTCTTCAAAAATGCTAATTAATGTGTGAAAAAATTAACCTTAGTTTAAATAGAAATCCTGCAAAAAAAAAATTCATTCCACTGATTGGGCTTAATTACATTCAGTAACAATTACAACATTTAGTTTATTAGAGACTTGCTTCAATAAAATAGGGATAGTTGAAACAAATTTGATTTTGCACAAAAATGACAGTAAAATGGTTATGCTAAGATAACAGGAAATGCATTAATCAACAAAAGAATTAACATATGACAGTAAAATGAAGCAAGACAGTAAATAGAAGCCACCATTACGCTAGGAACATTATGAAGGGAAGTGATATCAACAACTTTCTCCAACACATAGAAGAAAAAAAAGTTCTATGTGTAATCAATCTTAAGGATGCTTCATTGCAATTTTAATATTGCAATGAAGGAATTGTGCGTTTCTGGTATCCCATCGGATAGCACTAAGATAAGCAGTCAATAAATAGAATATTGCTTTTTCTTTACGGAAAATGTGGATCAGAAAATCCTTAATATCTTGCATTTTGTAACTAAGAAAATTGATGAATAAAAAATGGAAATTGCGAAAAATTGACATTATCTATTTAATTTGTTAATAAATTTTAAAACAAATTATGTAAAACTAGAATCATTATTTACAATAATTCAACTACCATTTACTGAAAAAAATTCTCAGCGTTGCCTCTACAGTTCAGTGGACACACACAAGGAAGATTAAGATCAATCAAGATAATTGCAAATATCCAGAGCCCAATTAGACTAATTAAATTAAAGTAATATCAACAATAGTATAAGTGATATAAAGTAATATCAATAATAGGATGTCATGCATATGGCCGGTACAAGCCAATCACAAAAGACAAAATTAAAATTTTTTCAGAAAATAAGTAGTAATCAAGACAACTCATTAGGTTATTTTCCTGCCCCTTATATTAGATAACAGGAATATTGATCATATAATCACCACATACATTTGCACAAGTTTAGGCAATAACAATATTTACTATCATGAAAATGAAATAATAAAAACTACATTGTAGAAAAATAATCTGAAAGCAGATCTTCATTACTACAAGGTTCTTAACATATCACATTTTAACTTAACTGAGTTTTGACCATTCTGTATGTTTCCGTGTTTCGGCACAGAAATTGCCACTGAGGCAAAACTGTTTTCTATGAGGGATGATTCCTTTAGTCTTCAGTACTGGCCCTAGATCAACATAATTAACTGACCTAGCGTGGCAGAAGACAACAAAGTTTCCACACCTTACAATTGAATTTTTAATAGTCAGATTCAACAGTTAACTGAAGTTAAAATACTGGTTGTATCCCTGTTTCGGCACAGAAATTGCCACTCAGGCAAAACTGTTTTCTATAAGGGATGATTCCTTTAGTCTTCAATACTGGCCCTAGATCAACATAATTAACTGATCTAGCGTGGCAGAAGACAACATATAAGCATAAGACTCATGCTTATAAATAAAAAAAAATATTGAAAAAAAATTGCACTCTTTCCATTTACACTTTGCAAGTCAGCATGGCATAAAAAAAAAACTAATAACATAAATAATAAACTAAAACATGGCATAGAAATAATTTATATTTAATATTTGCAACCAAAAAATTAATAGGACATGCCAAAAAAGGGATTAATCAAATGTACTCTTGTAGATTTATGCGCTATAATAAACAATGTTATAAATAGCACAATTTAAAAAATATGCAAAAATTAGCAATGACAACTACCAAGAAATAGATTGTAATAAATATCACATTAAATAGTGAATATTCAAGAGAGCAATTTGAGTAGCGATCAGGTGCGCAATCATCACAACGCACAGGATTTTTAAAAAAATTATGTGAAATATAAAAAATTTTATTCAGTCTTTAATTCTGGCCCTAGATCAATGCAACTATTGACCCCAGCAGGACAAAAGAAATAGGCCCAAACCTCAAGCTAAAAAATCTACAAGAATTAAGAGAAACAATTTTAAAAAAAAAAAATATTTCGGAATTGACTATTAAACATACATACTAACACTGTAGTATGGTCGTGATAGTTTGTCAAGTTTGAGAGAAATAGCAAACAAAAAAGCACTGATCAATAATGAAAGAAGCATATTCTTTAATGTGAAACACTAAACAAAATAAATAATTCAAATCCGACAACTTTGAAACGTTAAAACAAATCAATTAGTGATAAGCTCTTCGGAAACATGTTTCCTTATTTCTTCTATTAAATAAGGGTCTACATCTTGAAACAATATATATATACCATAATCTGTAACTCAAATCGAAATATCATACAACTAGGACAAAAACTAACAATAAAATGCATTAGAATAAAAGGAATTTTTTAAAGTTATCTCACCTTTCTGATGAAGTTCTTCTAAAGCTTTCCTTGCTAAAGATCCCCTGACTTTTAAACGATCAGAAACAACAGATGGAGTGATCAATTTGTAGCTTGGAATTTCCTTAAGCATCTTTTCATATGTTGGCTTGTCAAAAAGCACCAAGTTGTTTAACTTGTCACGAACTTTTCCTTTGGACCACTTCTACAGGTTTGAAAAGAAAAAATATTTTTTTAGGAACAAGGCAAATTTTTTTAAAAAGAAAACTATTATCAATAAAAAAAAAGGCTTTAAGGTTATAAAAGGCTAAAGGTCTTAACTGTTTAAAGATGTAACAAATAAACTGTTTGATAAACATGACATATTAATTTAACCCAAAGAATTATCAAACCTACATCAAGGTTTATAAGTATCATGGAAAAACACTTCCTTTTGTTACTCAGTCATTGTAGTGACAATTCCTACAGTAATTAGTTAAGAGGATCACGGAAGAAAATTTTCTAAACAGATCCTTTTTTCCCCATCATTACTTATTTAAATTCATTAAAATGTCATTAATCAAATCTTGCTTTAAATTTTATATCAATACTTATTTATTTAAAACATAGAAAAAGTTAGTCCAGCTGAACCTATTTAAGCCATGAAGTTTCAAATACTGAAAAGAAAATTTTTAAACATACAAATGAAAATAAATTATGCGGTAACTTAGGATTATGCAGTATTTTTTCAGCAATCGGAATGTCATGACTTACGTAACTAGTAATGAAAATAAAAGAGAATTAAACGTAAACTATCTTCTGCAATATATAGTCCTCTAAGTAATAATTAGTTAAGTAGTACCCCCATAGTAAACAGTTAAATCAATTAAAAAAAGCATTAACAGTTCAACAAATAAATATAACAGCTTGACAGTGTTCAGTACACGTTGGGAAAATATCCACACAATGTTTCAGACCCGAAAGATTACTCATCATCACACTGTTATATTTTAGGATATAATGAAAAATGTTAATGAATGAAAAATGTAAATCAATGATTAATATTAAATAAAAAATTGCACATTTAAAAAAATGCCAACAAAAACTTCATTGTAATTAATTAATGCTTAATTATAACTTAATTTCTTATGAGACAAACAGAAATGTCATTTACAACATTGGATAGAGAATCAATATATTTAACTACATAAAGATTAAAGTTACAGATTTGATTGTAAGTTCAGAATAACTCAGATCATGCACAATCTATCCTTGCAAAGCCATCTATTCTATACTATGTTATTGCTATACATGTATCCTTGCATTTGACTTTGAAAAAGGAATTGTAATCTGTTCAAAACATAAATGTATAAGTTTTGCTGTTTCATTAGTAAAAGTAAAAAGTACTCCTACGAACACACTTTTTCAGTAATTAAGTATTAAGAAAACACACGTCTACCAAGAAGGGATCTGGAATAAAATTACAGCATATTCACATTAGTGCAAAAACATAACAATGCTCAGTACACGTTGGGAAAAAACATCCACACTTTCATTTCAGACCCGAAAGATTGTTCATCATAACATTGTTAGTCGAGTAAATTCTTCAAGTTTCAATTCATATTTTTTAAAAAACAATTAAAAATAGCTATTTAACTTAAAAATATCTAAGTTCACTGAAAAAGCTTATCAGAGCTAGGCTAAACAATGTAAAAATTACTGCTCAAACAACTTAACATTGTTTGTACTAATCTTAACTCTTTTAAAAGACATCACAAACCACTTTTGGCATTAAGCGACAATGATTTTTACAAGACACATGGTTAATTAGGACTTTTTATATCCCTAGCAACAATATTAATTACCTTGGCCCCAGTTTGGTTCCAAATGGTTCTTATAAAAACATCAGGCAGAGGTCTGCCTAGGTTTTTCTGAGAGGTACCTATTTCGTGAAAATTTAGACATAATTTGTTCTTAAGGGATACAAAAATAAAATTTTAAGAAAAAGTATTTTGTGAAATTTCCTAAAGTTGAATTTGTCAAGGTACTGCTAAACGGTAGTAAATTACGCCTGGACAGACCTCTGAACATGCACCTACATCATCCAATATAGAATTTATATTGGCTAAATAATGGATAATGTACAGCATCAGTCAAACATCTGGTGAATCTAAAAAATTATTTAAATGCTTATTGAGCCAATATTCATGAATATTGGCCCAATGCGGGCCCAAGTAATTTTGCTGCTAGGGAAATATTAAAAAGATCTGTTACATAAGAAAAACAGAAATACAAAATACTGACAATAAAAAATATCTACAATGATTCAACTTACTTTAGATTACATAAATCTGCTAGTGCATTAGTTATTTTCGATCAAAAACAGAGAATTATGCCCATAGGGATATTATACATCTCCATATAATCCCTAGGAATTAGATGTGCAATAGCACATAAGCAGAATCACTCCACACTTAAAACTAAGATAAGATAAATTTTAAATCAATGCTCAGTACGTTGGGACTAAATGTCATCATTTACATCAGAATAAAATAAGTATCATCACAGCATTGTTTAATATACTATATAAGATGCTTTAAAATATTAGTTGTATTTAAGTGTTTTCATTACAGAAAAAAAAATTGGAGAGAATTTCTCACCTTCCTCAAAAACAGGGTGAGATTTCAAAAATTAAGGGAGATTTCAAAAAATTAAAAATACACAAATAGACATTATTCCTTTAATTATAATATTTAACATCTTCTATCTTTTAAAGCATTGAATATTTTTACAGCATCATCATATGGAAAATATTCTACGTCTATTTATTCCTCAACTATTCCCATTAGGTTGCTCTAATCTAATGCTTATCACAGGAATGAGAGTACTTGGAAAGTAAAAAAGAGGAAATTCAAGAATGAATATATTATATATATATACACACAAAAAAAAAATTTGACAAAAAAGTGCAATTTTTAAACTTGTAAACAATGCGATTATAAATCCCGATGATTAAATTTAAAATTGCATGAATATATAAATATGAATCACACGCATGATTTTAAATTTAGAGAATATGAATCACGAAATAAGACTTAAATGACGTGAATATGAAACTCTATATCGAATTTAAAAATGCGAAAATACGAATCACGCTGAGTAATTTTTAAATAGAGCGAATACGAATCCCCCTGTAATTTTTAAAGCACGCATAAATAGGAAAATTGGTGTTTATACAAATCACGACAAAGCTCGCATGAATGCGAATCCCTACATAGGGTTTTAAAAGCACATAATTACAAATTGCGATATAATTACAAATCGCGATATTTTAAATCTTGTAAATAAGAATCGCAATGTACGACATTTAATTCGCCTGATTGAGAATCGCAACGATAAACTTTTAAACCAGGTAAATACGAAAATCAATGTTTGAGGGAGGAATGAGGGAGGAACATTTAATTCCTCATATAGTATTTTAACTTATGCAAAAAAAAATTTCAGCAGAAATTGCGGGAAAATGGAAAAATCTGAAAAAAGTAGAGATCCGCAGAAGAATCACATCCCCGTTATCAGTCAATCTGTTACAATATTTTTTCTTAATTCGATTTTAGATGCTAAAAGACTTTCAACAGATGCTGAACTATTTGGAATCACTAAGTAAATTTGCAGCAGTGTGCACACACTTTCCCATCCTCTACATCTGCCAGCAAATGAAAGTTGAAAATAATGAAAGATCAAGATAGAAAAATGAAATGGATTTTATTAAAAATGGCACAAGGCGAAATGCCTTCCAAAATTCGCGAGATTCGAGCATTATGAATTTCATGCGGTAATTATTTTTTAATGCGAGAAAAGAAACAGATGTGCGAGATTCTCTGGTTATAGTGAAAACACTGTAATAACATTAAACTGAACTATAAGTACTTTAAACATATTGCTAAGGCCAAGTGCTCCATACATTTACTTATTACAGTAACTAAGGAATAGAACAATTATCACTAAACTACAAGCACCAAAATTTTTACCATTGAGGATATCGTTACAGAAGAACTACGTTGACTACGGAAACCTTTAATAACAATTTCGATACATGACCGTAAGACCCTGATTATGAAATGTTAAAAATTTTGGATAAACTGTTACAGTTTGTACCTATGAATAATTAAAACTATCCTTTTGAATAGTAGTTAAAACTCAACTACCTAAATTTTGAAGATTTTCAGATAATTGAATTCTGATTTTACACTAACCCATAATTACACACGAAAAAAAATTTAACCATAAATACACACAATAAAAAATAAAATATTTGAAATACCACTGCAAAACAAAATAGAAAAAATTAATTTGTGAGAGTTTGAACAGATTTCAGTAAAATTCTAGTTCACAAGAATACAAAGACTGAGTTCTTTCATAAACACTGGCAACAGCAGTCTTCATATTGTTATAACTCATTTCTTTACTATATTGCTGCCAAATTAGTACTTACTGCTAAACTAATAAAAAAAATTTACAGAATAGATCAAAAAATAAGCAAAAATTTAGTTTTATATCAATTAAATAGTCACATGCCGATATTTGTACTGGTACTACAGTAACTAGCATTTCAATAACGGGTTTTACAGTAAGTGCAGTAACTAGCTAAGCCAATAAGGATCAAATAAACTATGGAGAACAGATAAGTAAAATAAATACATCAATGAATTTAATGAATATGTAGCTTGTCAAATTGAATACTTATAAAAGTAACTTAGTTTAGTGAAAGTTTGAATATTCAAAGTTACTTTTAGTTTAATAAAATATTTAACAGACGTACCTTCTTTTTAGCTTTACCCCCAGAAGATCCACCTTCCTTCTTCTTAACACCAGCTTTAGGGTCCTTTTTCTTTTGATCTTGTTTGGGTGGCTAGAATTAAGTTAAAAATATGTTTCTTTAAGCATACATTTAATCCATGTAATTTTTTATATCATATCCACAAAAAAAATGCTAACTACTAGTCTATTTTTACAACAGTAGAGATATTTATGTAAGTTTCAAGTTATGCGGAATTAAGTTTAAAAAATTTTAAAAGAATATTCTAAATTTATAATGTTCTGATTAATGAAAACTTTGATTAAATAAGTTCGCTATCTCGTCATCCTCACTACGTAAAAATTGAAAGCCTGTTTTGAGCCAGATACTGGCTTTAATGCAATATTCACTTATTAATAGCAAAGTAATAATCAAAAATACAAACATTAAGTAATTAAAAAACTAATTAAGTTTCAAAAACAAAGAGAATTAGAAGTAATCTAATTACCACAGATCGGCATATTCACACGTGTACAGACTAAGCCTAAGATAACAGAAATCAAAGGCAAAAAAAAAATATTTAACGTTTTAAAATATCTATAAAATGGGAAAAAAAACTTTAAATATAATCAATTTAATATAATAGATAAGAGAAGAAATGAAATAATCGAAATATAAAAATGTTGGCCACTTTTTTTAAATTTACATTTATATATATAATGATTAATTCTGGATGCAATGTGTAATAAAAAATAAAATCATGAACAAAATTTAAGTTTAAAAACATTTAAATGCAAATTTAATTAATGATAAATAACGAAGAGACATATAACTAACTTACCATGATGACTTCTCAAATCACCACGCAATCTGCAAACGCCAAGCAAGATTTCCAACTTGTGCATTCAGTTCAGTTTAGGAGACCTATTGCCAGACCAGATAAACAAAAAATAAAATAACCGAATTTACTGAAGTAGCTTAAGGGCTATTTTCACTGTATGTAAGTCAATAATCGCGTGTGGTTCGTGCATACTCCTGCATGCAATTAAACTACACTTTCTATCTACATCGTTAAGAAACTACTAAAAAGATGCTCGTGCCTCCGTGATAAAACATGCGATTCTAAAAAGCGATCATCCGTTGATGGACCATTGTAACTGCCTGCTATCAAAACGCAACATGTGCGATTTCGAAAATACGAGCAGGAACCAGATTGGCTAGATTGGCCAATCGCAACCCTCGAATGCGTCATCTTGGGAGAAGACCAGTTCCATGCCTTTGTTCTTTCTCTCTTCCCTCCACTCCTCTTTTCAGTTATATAGGAATGTACTGCGGTATTTGTCCATTGCCTGATATTTTCCGTTTATAATTAATAAAAATATTTTTTTTAATTTTCATGATGATTTCTTTTAGAACTATGCTTCAGAACTAGGCAGAACTGACTCTCCACACGCTAAGGAAGAAAGCATGCGAAGTTTTGATATAGGTACAGGTCTGTTCTACGCCACCTGTTGCCCATTTCGATCGCCAATATTTCACCGATCAGATTTTTATTTACATCTCCGAACTCTCATACGCTAATTTTTCGCATCTAGTGCTAATGGTCCCTAAATGCAGGGCTAAAGAGAATACAAGGGCTAGTTCACTCCGCTCTTAGAGCTGAAGCTACGATTTCCCTCCTCATGACGTCACTGTGTCCACAGATCTCGGAGATCGCGAGCAAAGATATGATAACTTTGCATCTTTCTCTTTGTAAAAATAAGTTAGACTTTTTCTGGTTATTAGCCTTCAAACTTTACGTAATTAACACATTATTTCCGTTCATAAACATAGTTCAAAAAAAACTTTCTTGGTTATTA